CGTATAAACAACACTCAGCTGTGTATTTTGAGCATGTTCAGATAGAAAGAAAAGAAAAACTTTGGCTTTAGAAAGCAAACAAAGCTCTTGTTTTCCGTCCCTGATTCATTCTGGGTGTCCAGGACGCCAAAACATCTCATTTCAAATGAAAAAATCCAAAAAATTCTAAGTGAAAAAAGTCTGTATTTTCGGTATCGGTATATACCGAAGTTCGGTATTGTCGGTATCGGTATTTTCGGTATCGGTATTTCGGTATGAATACCGATACCGGTGCATACCTAATCACCATAAATAATAGTCAAATTGAAAACTTTCTATCATTGTTAAATTAATAGTAGAAAATCAACCACAAATATATGCTACCGTTTTACTAATGTTATTAGTATTTTTCTTATCCGAAGGATATTTTAAAAAAAGAACACGTGTGTTTCTAGAGTCTGAATTTGTCTTACAGTAATCATAAACTTAAAATTTCAAAACACCAGAACTTAAAATTGGTTTAGAACAACTTAAATAGAAATGCAACATCTTTGTATTTTATTCTCATATATTGTTGAGTAGAAGCAATAAAAACATTTTAGATATTATAATCATATATGATTGAATAATATAAAAGTAAGCAACATAAAAAATATGTATATTGAGTATAAAAATTATTCTACAAAAACAAATATATATTTTTCAGACCTTTCTCTAAAGTACCAGCTGTAATAGAAAAAATAATGATCAATAATTATATATGATGAAATTTGAACAGTTTTGGATACTCCACTCTATCGTTGTTGCCACTGAGATGTTATTATACGTGAAAAAATGTAAGTAATCGCAACATGACAGATAATTATCAAAGAGGTAATCTTATGAAACAAAAATTCATTTGACCATCTAATAGCGTCGTTATCACTACAATATCGTCAGTAATACTTACCGACAATAGACGCAATAACAATGATAAAATCAAAAACATTCCACGGTATTGTGAAATAGTTGCGGTTTAATGCCAATAGTTTCATAATACATTCAGCAGTAAATCTAAATTAAATCATAATCAAATGTAAAATCAAACATATTTTCATCTTGAATAAACAAGAGTTTAACATACATTGCCACAAAAAAATTATTAATATATCGTAAAGTACTTTCTATTAATTTTGTTTGCTTATGATGTTCAATACACATACAAATCATATTGAGAAATATACAAATCATTATGAATATATCAAATTTTTGATTTGTTGTTAAATCGAAAAAAAATCTTGCCACAGCAAACTACAAATGAAGAAAATTTGAAAAGAATTTGTAATCAATACTAAATGTGAATCAACTATAATTACACGTGGTCTTGGTAATGCTTTTGTTGGCTTTTTGTTGCCCATTTTCTTCATTGCATTATAATATTTTTTTTGTTCTTGTGTCATAAACATTTCAATTGAACCACCACTTCCTAACTGAAAACAACAATTTATTTTAAAAAAAAAAGTATTTTATCATACTCAAAATACTCACTTTTCTCTTTTGCTGATTGAAATTATCAATAACAACACCAATAAATAAATTCAATGTAAAAAATGAACCAAATATAATAAATAAAACAAAGTAGACTAACATATGAACATTTGATTCACTTTCAGGTTGAACATCCAACTAAACACGAGATAGTATAAATTATCGATTTAAAAAATCATTCTATAATATTCTAAATGCTTATTTATACTTCTTTTGCATCAGCAGCATCAGCCATAATTTCAATCCATCCTTTAAACGTTGCTACTTGTAATAGAGCTAAATAGCCGTGAATAACATTGTCAAAATTCACTCTTGAATTTTCCCATGTAAAACGTTTAGCGTTACAATCAGATTTATTCGTTACATTTTCCGTTATATTAACACGATCATGTGTACCATTGTAAACGCATTTATAAAATCGACCACCGAATAGTTGTACACCCATTATACTGAATATAAGCCAAAATACAAGACAAACAAGAAGTACATTGAAAATAGATGGAATGGCTCCAATCAGTGCATTGACCACTACCTGAAACATATATGATACACAGGAGGAAAAAATAATTTCAAGAAATATTTCGAAATTAACATACCCTGATGCCTTCGAACCGAGATAATGCTTTTAATGGACGCAATGCACGTAATGTTCTCATTGATTTTAATTCGGGAATATCAGCAACACCCAACCAATCGAACATAAGGCCAATAACACTAACCTACAAAAATATAAATTTTTAATTAACATCATTTTTATAAACATTTTTTTTCATTCAAAAATAAGTGAGAAATATGTTTTTGATAGTATTTTGTTTAAGGTTGCATATCGAAATCGGCAATCATGTAGACAAGTGAAGTTCTTTTTAATTTTTTGTTCTCAGTAATATACTTTGACATGTCAACTACCTTCTCTTATAGAACTTACACCAGAAGGATGAAAAACTCAAACGTAGAAAGTTGGCTAGAAAAATGCTCAGTATGTTCAAAGTGTAAATTAGACGAATGCTGAAATAGAAATGGATTTCAAGAAATCATGCTTTCGCTACATTTTGGACAACAGAAACCTTTAGTTACATGTACTTAGGTTCAAGAGCCATCTTGTAATATCTCTCTTTTTCTCCCGTCGTAAACCGAAAAAATCGTTGGCCCGTCCGACCTGAAAAGTTTTCTGGGATGACCCGCCTGGCCCAAGAAAGAAATCGACTGGCCTGGTCCGAGGCGAGTCGGTCCCGGATCGGGCGGGCCAATAGAAGCTCTGGTATGACCTTCATTCAAGATTTTAACTGTAAGATTGATGAATATCTTAAGATAAGATATTTCAAAAAAAATCTTATTGTTTTCATCGTATTTTAAGGTAGGTATAGGCAACTAATTCGCTATCCGCTCGAAAACAACAGTTTTGTGAAAAAATGTTTCTCAAACTGTATTACCTCCAGGCGATTTTTGACTAAATATTGTTTCTTCGTAAAAGAGATTTTTGTGCAGTAGACAAACGTAGTAAAACAGGAGGAAGTATTTATTGCTGAGAAAATAAATAATCACATGTATGTGTCAAACCAGACGTGCTCACTATGCATGTAAAAGTAAATACTTACGACAACAATGATAAAATCTAACCAATTCCAACCGTTTATAAAATAATTTCTAAATCCATAGGCAAACCATTTTAGAACTAATTCAGCGGTAAATATAAATGTAAATGCTTTATCAAATATAGTCAATATAAAATAAAATGTTGGCTGTTGTCTAGTATTAATATCTTCGAGAGCTAACGTACTACTACTTGTTAGAATTGTAGCAATAATTAACCATTCAAAAAATCGATGTTCAACTAATCGATGAGCTTTACTTCTCAATTTATTCCACATTCGTCTTATAGATGGATGAATAAATTTTTTACACCATAGAAAATGTTTTGAGATGATAATCGGACAGCAACCTGATGGCATATTAATATTTTGTTGTCTAGTTCCATTAGCTATTGTTGATAAAGGCATATCTGACTGATTTTTAGATGAGCTATCATTCGACTCTAATTTCTTTATTGGCATCATTTCAATATCATTTAAGGCCAAATCATTTGCAATTATTAAGCCATTTGGCTTTGTCAAACATTTATTATCAATTTCACAATTCTCATAATCAATGAGAAGTGGAGTGATTGCAGGCATACCACTGTCATTCGTGCCAGCTATTGACTATTTTGAGATAGAAAAATGAGTTGTGACTATCAACTTGTTCGAGTTCTCTCTGCTTACCTGATTGATATAAAGCGTTTCGATCGTTGCACTTTCAACAACTTTCGTTCGATTTCGACATTGACAACAGAGTTTAATAAATGAACGTCCCATAGAACGAAAACATTTTTGAATTCGTTCAATCGCTTCACCAATTTTATTTTCTTCATCTTTCTCTTTAAATACATTTGAGCTAAATGATGCTAACAACAATGCAAGAAAGAGATTGAGCATCTAGAACAAGAACTATTCGTTGTAATACAAGAAAATGTCACATTTTATTCTAATATAGAAGTTACCACAAGATTTCCGATCACCATTGTTAACAGAAAAAATGGGATGCATGGCCAATCAGCTGCTCTCATGCAATCCCACATTGATTCAATCCATTCGCCACACAAAACACGAAAAACAATCATAAATGAATGAAAAAAGTCATTAAAATTCCATCGAGGCATATTTGATGCATATTTTTCATTATATTTTTGACCGAACAGTTGCATACCCATAACAGCAAATATGAATATTATAATAATTAGTACAAGTGTCAAATTACCTGAATTCGAATAATGATGAGAAATATCAATTTATTGCTTAAAAGTACTCACCTAATGCTCCAATTGTTTTTCCAATGATGGCCATTAAACGATTCAACGTCGGCCATGATTTGGCTAATTTGAAAACTCGAAGCTAAACACAGTCAGGTAAATTATTATAAATCTCACAATTAATTATATGATGATTCTTTGAACATACCAAACGAAACGATCGAAGAACTGTAAGACCCTTTATATTAGCTAAACCTAATTCAACTAAACTCAATGTAACAATAATTAAATCAAAAACGTTCCATCCATCTCTGCAATATCGAGCTGGTGTCATTGCAATGATTTTCAGAACAGCTTCAGCAGTAAATACACTAGTGAAAAACTTTGAAGAAAATTCATGATTACATAAAAAGTTTAATTAAAGTTAGTCAACGTACATAATTGCCGGTTGCCAATATTCGAATCATCTTCTCACTCTGTCCATGTGGGTGATCAAGTGCCATGAACAGGGTGTTACAAATAATACAAATTGTTATGAAAAGATCAACAAACGCATCCAAGATAAAAGATGCAACAATAGCCTACAAATATATATCATCCTACTTTCTCCTTCACTTCTGGAAAGAGATGTTACCTGGAATTGTCTTAGCCGAGGCGATGGACATGCCCATTCACAACAATAAGATCGAATCAATTTCATAAGCGGATGATCACAAACGTTTGACGTTTCATCAATATCTGAAATGACGTTAAACGTTTTACGTTTGATGGTGGATCGTGGTGTGATTAAAACACGACATTCTATTTTGTGACCATCGTCTATTGTGTGTAATACACTTTGCTCTACGAAAACAGAGAGAGACAAAGACAACATTGATACACAATATACTATATAACACAAACTACTGTCACATCGACACCTATTTGGTGATGGGAGATGAAGAAGAAAAGCAAAAGTTTTCTACAGCGATTCTCGAGACCGTCTTTTATATCCTTGTTGTTGGTTTAGTGAGAGTTTGTCTCTACAACATGCAAAGGGTTCCACTGTTGTGAAGTGTATACTCTATGGACAATCGGTAAGATCATGTAGTTTTTCACTTAGTCTTCTATCAGAACTCTATGTCCCGTTATGCCGGTTAGCAGACTGTATTAGAAGATTCATCTCTCCTTCGTCTTGATTGAACAGTCAACATAATCCTTCTATATTCTGTGAATATCTGTTTTCTCTCAATACTTGTGAAAGAGAGCAGGTTAGATGAAAATCGAGAGGAGATGTGTTCCACTAAGGTGTTTAGATGAGTTGTATAAAACTAAATTTATGTGCAAGAAATTATAATAAAAAAAAATATATGTTAATACAAACTACATGACTATCTAAATTCTATGAACTTATACTCAATACCACCAAGTATTTCTGAATCTAATCTTGCGATTGATCAAAAACATCCATTAGAAGACATTTTTCAAATAAATTCTTACTTTTTGAAATATGACTATCGGCAACACTTGGGTTTACTTGATAAACTGATTGTTCTAGAGAAACTCTATATGTTTTACCCATTGGCGTATATTTCAAGCGTGAGTGAGTACGATGAAGCTAGAAATATCAGTAAAATGTTAGACGGTGACGCTCTATAAAACAAAAATACTTACCGTTGTATTGGATTCATTGTTCCGCTGATGTTCGTCAGATTTATTCGAAGATAGTTCTTTTTTGTGAAACTTGGATAATGTACAAATACTTTCTCGCTGAAAACTATGATCAAATGAATCTTCTCCTATTGAAGAATTTAGTTTTGTTTCATCAGCAAATGGAAATAGAGTAATGATTGGATGTTTGTAACTATCTGGATAACTATAATTTTGATTTGAATTAGTTGAACTATAATGATCAACACATGGTATTTCATTGTCTGTGCGACTGAGCGACGATGACTCTTTGTACATGATCTATATTAAAATGTAAAATTTGCGTTAATATTACATTTTCCTTCCACTATCTGCTGTTCTTTACATATCTTTTTTAGACACCCAAGCAAAAGTAAGTAACAGAAGAAATCTAGGCTGAAAAATAGTTCCAGCGTCCGCTGGCCTCTAAATTAACGAAACCAAAATTCACATTTATTTAGATGCAAACTGGTTGAAATTGTGTTCTAGCTGAAGTGGCCGATTAATCGGACACATCATTGGCTCATTAATTAACAACAATTGAAGTGAGATTTAAGCGAAATAAATGTACCTTTAATCTAGATACAAGCGTTCGCTTCACGTTTTTTTTTGCTGCAAGGACTATTTTATTACCTTTTTAATTGCATTGTTTTCCGATTCCATACTGTCAGATTCAAACGATAAACGAGATTGTGAACGATTTAAGAATGAGTTTCTATCGATATCCAAAATACTTTCATGATCATTCATATCGATGTGATTAATTCCCATTTCAGATTGTTTTCTAGCTTCATTTTCAACACGTTCGTCTTCGGTTTTTCGTCGATCATTTTCCTCTGCTTCTTCTCGAACTTTTTTTTGTTGATCTTGATACGAATTGGCAACAATAGCCAAAATTAAATTAACTAGATAAAATGAGCCCAAAAAGATGACAGCCACAAAATACAAAAAATGATATCGACCAGCCGCAGTTAATACCTGGAAAAGAGACATACAGGATAGGATGTACAAAAGAAATCATACAAAAATTTCCGATAGTAAGACTTTTGCATATCATTATTTTCTTTATCTGTTTGTGCAATAAGTATTTTTACAGATCTTAAGGTCACTAAGAAAAATTAATTTTTGCGGTTCTAATGTGAAATTTTGTTGGGATATTAACTTTTTGAGGTAGGGATTGCCTAATAGAATGGCATTCCAAAACTCATTTATAGTCAGATGTACCTGACACTATTACAAATTGGCTTTTAACAGTCTTACATGGTTTGACTATTTGTATAAATGAAATGTGAGTTGTATATTAAGCAGCGATGTACCCAACACCTGATCAAGGATAGGCTATTCTTAGAGAGTTCGATTTCCGAGAACTGGAAAAAAATAATTTCAAGCACTAAGGCATCGAGAAAAAAATATCGAATTCTAAGTTTTCAAGATCTAAAAGGTTACGGTCAATATATGCTCATTACGTGTGACAAAGACATCACTTAGTATTACGATAAAACTTTAAAAAAAAGAAAGGAAACCTTGATAGTGGTATAATGAAAAAATGTAGCACAATCTTAGCAAAATCCTGCCTACGACGCTGCTATTGTTTCGACTTACCAATTGATATAAATTCTCCCAATAATCTTGCGTCATTAGTCTAAAACAACTTAGCATAGCCCAACCATAAGAATCAAAACTGGTATAGCCGAAATTAGGGCTGAAATATGAAAACAGTTTTGATAGTAAAACTGAACGTTCTTTTTTATTTGTGTCGCTTACTTCTGACCACGATCTTTCCAACAAACGTATCCCGGCGGACATTTCCTAAACGTAAGGACAATTTTAAAAAGAAGAGAACTATACCCACAAGTTTCAACACAAGACAATATGACGGCAGCAGTGATTTTTAAATTTTGGTCAAAAACATAAACTAAGTGAAAATCATCCCTATCTGACATTGCAAAAGTCTTCCTACCTGCCTCCGCTGCTGTTTCCACACAAAACAAATTCATCATCTTCTTGATACCAATATTTTGCATTTTCAATTTCGTCCAAATACCACGCATATGTCACTTGTGTATTATTTGTATTATTTCGAAAATAATCAATTGAAGGCACACATTTTTGTCTCAGAACTCCCTGAAGAAAGAACAGTACATTTAGATGAGATACCAATTGTTTCTTCACAACATCTATTACCATATAGAGTTGTAAACCGACCAAAGCAAATATCGATAATATAAAGCTCGATAAAACTGTAACATCTCGCAAACAAATAAGCGACTGTATTAGAGCATCGACAATTGTTTTAAGACCTATTTTAACGTTTAAATTAATTAGAACAAATAAACTGTCTAAACATGAGATATACAAAAACTCAACCTGGAACAACAGCAACAGTTTTCAGTGCTCTTAAAACACGAAATGTACGTAAAACAGAAACATTTCCCAAATGGACAAAAAACGTAATGTATCTAAATAAACACATATTGATAGGATATGAAAATTTGATAATCAAAAATATTTACGCAAGAGTTATAACAATAAAGTCCAACCAATTCCATGGATCACGTAAAAATGTAAATTTTTTTATTATAAACCCTCTAGCAACACATTTTATCAATGCTTCTATCGTATAAATGATTGTAAACACATATCTACAATGGAAGAGCTCAACATTGTTATTTAGCTGTTCTTCTGCATCTTGAATGATTCTCACTCGTTTGCTTCGTGTATATTTTTTCGTGTCATGCAAACACAATTGGTTAAAATTGTCAGCATTACAAATGTACTAAACAATGAATGTGTTAATATTTTAATAGCAATCCGTCTTATTCGATTAAATGGCGAAAATATGAATAGTGCTCGTGATGAACTAAAACGAAATATTGTCTTATTTCGATTGACAACAACAAATACCTAGAATTAAAATAGACTTAAATAATTCAAATAATCATAATTATTAAACTACTCACATATTCTGTACGATAATGCCAATCAATTTCTTCAATGGGTTTTCCAATAAGATCAGCTGGAAATTTTGTTTGTAATGTTCGTGGTAATGTTTTGCCTACAGCCAATTCTTTGTTTGGTTTTGTGAATGTATCATTATTTTTGTTCGATGTTGTAGTTGATATTCCTCCTGTTTTAGGATATTTTGTACTTTTCATTTCTTCTTCTTCGATTTGACATTGTAATTTAATGGACGCTACTCGTTCCGCTTCTTCCTGACGATATTTTTCGATTTTTTTTATTGATTCGTAATCGAATTCTCGAAAAACAATCGAATTGTAATCCATTATCAACAGTATTTTTAGTCATACTGATTTAAATTAAATTTATCGAATATATTTACTAGTGAATTATGAAATATATCATGAGCTAAATACAAAAATTGGAAAAAAATAGTCTATTTTTTTTCTCTAAGACTAACTTCATAAAAAAAATTTTTAATCATTTTGTTTGATTAGTGCTTTTCTTGAGGATACTATCACTTACTTCAGTCTCACTTGTCCTTTTCGCTGTTCTTGAAAATTTAATTTTTTTCCTCATAACTAGGGAGGTATCATCTACACGAGACAATATATCTAGCACGATAAATTCAATGCTATCTCTTTTTTACGAATGTAACAGATGTCTTACAATAAACTATATTCTTTATATCATCCTTAGTGACTGACTAATATTAGTATAAATATGAAAACGTCAATAAAATAGAATATCAAGACAATCACTATAAATTTTCTTGTTCAAAATGATTTTTCTTTCTATATAAATTTAACTTGCGTACGAAATACGAATTTTAAGCAAATTTTTCTTCTTTAATAAGATATTTACATCTTTAAAGGTTTACCTAGTCTCAGACGACTGGTGCCAATATTCATTATTAACTGTCAAGATTCATGATCATTATAAAGAGTGGCACAATAGAACAGCTGTAAAAAGGACAAAAAAATGAAACAGAAATGACTGCATTTACCTGTAGGCTCGTTCTACTTCTAACTTTGTCTGTTTTGTTCTAGATCTCATACATTTTACGTTTAATTTTCGAAAGTAAATTTAAAACAAACTTACATATTATTTCATCTAATTGTTGCATTAATAATAATAACAATGTACAGCGTTTATCTTATTGATATTTTGTTTTTCTTTTTCACTCATCTTCTTTTCTTCCCTCCATTGTAAATCGTGTTTAATTAATTCCAAATAATTTTGACATAATATACATAAGAAGAAAAAGAGATACATGCTCTTTTGTTATGATTTGCACGTATTTCTCTATTTAACACATCAAAAACTAAGAAATTAGAGTTTAAATATTGTTCCGGTAGTTATTTTTTCTTTGTCCTTTTAATTGAATATTAGACTAAATCCCAATGAAAAACAGTGATTTTCTCTCTCTCAAGCTTATCAGTTGTTCTCTAATGACATGAAAAAAAGAAAAATCAAACTGATATCTTAAAAATCTGATGTCAAACCATTTGGCTGCCTACTATTTTCCTGACTTGCAAGCGTAAAAATAAAACAAAATTTTTTTGTTACTCGTTTGTCTTATTTAGTATTATAAACAAAAGGCGTATCTAAAGAAAAAGTCTTTCTGTGATGTCACCAATTATTATTTATGGGGAGAAAAAGAAGTTCAAAAACATTTGGGAATATCTAATACTGCATTAATTCATTTGAAATATAAAAAAAATAGAAAGATTTCTTATTTTAGTAATGATATTGTTCAAAAGAAAAGAAAATCAAAAGGAACATGAGACATTCTCTCAGAAAAATAATAGTTTTGTTCAGTTTATTATGTCTGTCTTTTTTTCCCTCTGTTATAGAATTTCGATGTGATTTCTTTTTAAAATTTTTTTTTATCTTATTCGAGAAGAATCGATAATCGTCATTGAGATAATGAAGACATACAGTAGCAGATATATGAACACGTCTTCTTAACTTAATATTCTATTCTCTATTCAATCCTCTCTTTGTACGGTGCTTGTGATACGAGAACTATAAGGTCGAGAGTTTTATGTTTTTCTTTTGAAGACTACAATCGAACAGTTACAGACGTTGCACATTAAGAGATATAGTCTTTATTCGTATGGAAATAATAATAATAATAATAATAGAAAAAAAGAGAGAGAGAGAGAGAAGACGAAATTCGAAATTTGATTTTATGATTAGCATATATAATAGTTAGAATAATAAACGAAAGACGGAGAAAAAACCCATTGTGTGATACATATAAAAATTAAGAGTGTTTATCGTATAGAGAAAAGGACTATAGCTATATACAATAGATGATAACTGTGGACACAAGCGACATCAACAATAACAGATTCAATTTCCCTTTGTCTCACAGTATAACTGTAACAATACGAAAAAGTGAAGAAAGAATTTAGCGTCATAACTTTGGACAATGACAAAAAGATTCAAATGTAATCCGTGTTTTTTGGCTTTTTCTATTTAATAGAGTCGGTTTAATTCTTTTCTCATTTCATCCTTCTTTCATTGATCTATCACTTCATATATAACATCCCGTTATAAGAATAGTGGAACTATACTCGATATGATGTGAGACGAAGTGACAATATCTAATTTAAAGAGTTCTGTTGCCATAATTTTTTTCTTATAAATTTACCATACCATGACCATGACCATTACTATTACCTTGAATATTTTATCATTATCATTACCATAGTAATGGAATTTGCAAGTAACTCAAGCTATTTCCATAGAAAGAAATAATAATAACGAGTTAGAATACAAGGAATGTCAGTAGTGATAAATGAAAAAAAGATAATTCATCAATATCAACACCAAAACGACAAAAACACATACAAGAGGATAGCAGTAAAAATGATAATACTGACAGTTCAGATGCGAGAAATACTGAACCTGTAGAAGAAAATATTCAGAAGAATAATGAATCTTCTGTTTTTCTGTGTTCTTCTACTTTTCAGTAAAGAGACTGTATGATTATGAACTAGAATATAAAAATATTTGTTACTATTGCCATTATCATAAATTTAAATTTTTGTTGCTTTATTGCTTCACGATATTTAACAACAGCATATTTTTAGAGCCACGACATTGTGTGCAATTGGTGCGTTTGTTTTATTTACAATTATGGGAATTATATCTTCATTTGAGAACTTGGATACTGACTTCATTGCTATTCTTGCTTGTTCTTATAATTCACCTATATTTTGTGAAATAATACCTAAACATGTACAAACAGATCAACACAGTTGTAGGTGTAGAAAAAAATTCAGCATCAAGAAGATGGATTCTTGTTTGGCTGATCATCGAATAGCCGACAATCAGAATTTTCTTACATATATGTCGGCTATCGTTTAGTTGATCATTTAGTAGCAGAGAATCAATGAATTTTCTGTATAAGAGGCGGCTATCGCTTGGGTGATCATTTAATAGCCGAGAATCAATGAATTTTGCTATGTAACGGCCGCTATTTTATACACACGTTTTTGTACGCGTTTAGGAAATTGAAATGATGTTACACAACGATACGGTATATAGGGAATATCGTTGTGTGATGACTACGTAATAGATGAACGGGTCGTACGACTCATTCATCTATTACGTAGTCATCACACATCTCATCAGGTGGTAAGTAGGCCATTCACAACCATAAACAACATTCGAAATGATATTCTTCGAAACTGCTCTAGACTGGAGACTGGTCCAGCGTAGAATCCCGTTTAGGTCTCGAGTTTGAATATGGCTAAGTGAGATCTGGTGTTATTAAGTCACCAGGTCAGTCGGTTTGTAGAAACAATATAAACTTGAGCGGACTAGTCCCTAATCTGACTCAGAAGTGTACAACTGGTTTATCATTCTCCCGACTGCCTGGTATTCATGTCTTATTCATGTCTATGTTTTCATCTAATCTCCCGATTGGATGAAAACCATATAATGTGTGCAGACCGCATAAAGGGTCTTGAAACGGTCAGGAGCGATCCTACTGGCTGAAATGCTGTTTCCGAGTGAATTGAATGAAAATCACATGATGTGTGTAGCCGATCATCAAGCGTCCAGACACAGCCAAGAGCTTAATGATCGGGTATACAAATCATATGATGTTGATCCAATCAGATTGAAAACAAAATTTCAGCCAATACGATCGCTCGCACAGACGGCGCGGAACCGTTTCAGGACCCTTCATCCTAGTCTGCACACATCATATGATTTTCATCCAATCATGTTCAAAACAAAGTTTCAAGCAATAGGATCGTCCCCTCACTCTAATTATGCGACCATGTAAGTACATATGATGTCTCAGAACACTCACCGTCGACTAAAGTTGCATCTTCACAGCATTTGAAATGGTGACGGATGTGGCCGGATATTGTTTGGCAATCCCCTTAATAGCTTAGTAATATTTAGAAAATAGAAATGATATTCGTTAAAGAGATAGATGTTGTAAGCGTAGCTTGGTCTTCTTCAGTCGGCAGTGTATCAGACAAACTCGGGTATTGTCTCATTGGCCTATCAGTATCTGACCTCTCCACTACCGTTATCAAACATCCAAAATAATACATGTCTTGACTAAGGCAAAACGGTCGACTTTACTAGATGTAGAGTAGGATTTAGTCAATTAAACTTTGATCTATTTACCCATGCGTGTATTCTATAAGTGTTCTATTCTCGTCTTTCCAATCTAAATAAACGACTCAATAGTACATACACCTATTTCGCTCACCAACAAATCTTTCTATTACATCATCTGGGTAAATAATGTCACTTATCATTTTGAATATTAAACGAGAAATAAATAACTACACTTTGAATCTACGAGAACATGCACTGAAACATTCCGAGACAACCAAATAATTAAGAGTAATAAATATTGCGGAAATGCTTTCCGAATTACGAAACCATGACCGATGCTCTACTTTGCAGACATCCATCCAGTTTCTCATTTATTACCTCACAATAATCAACTGCTTCTGAGAAGTTATGAACGTCTCATCAGTCTTTTACTCATGTCCGCCGCTGCTCTTTCACACACATTGATAGAAGGATGAGTACCCAGGAGAGATTTCCGCATAACTCCGAGGTCATTTTCAAAATTACTCAAGGCCTTTGAGTAGTCTCCCATGTCAGTGTAAACCAGTCCAAGATTGTTGTATGTCGTAGCCACAGATGGATGGTTCGGTCCTAGTGTTTCAACTTCAGTTCCAGTGTCTGTTCACAATAACTCAAGGCCTTTGAGTAGTCACCCATATTTCTGTAAACCAGTCCAAGATTGTTGTAAAATGTCGGGATGTTAGGATCATTTGCAGAA